AAAATATTATATTTTTATTTTTTAAAATTAAAATTAAAATTGTAACAATGCTGGATTGTTTTAGAGTTGTATTATAAAAAAAAATGTATTATAATAAGAAGGCAGATTAAGCAAATCCTTGTTGTTTAACATTTAAAGTGGCTAGCTGTGAATGCTGAATAAAACTTGAGAAGGCTAGCTTCAGAGCTACAGAAACTCTAAGCATTCAATGTCAGACAGATCGGTACTTGAAGACAAAATTTCTCATGGTCGCTCAAAATTAAATTCTTCATTGTTAGGGAAAATACCATTAGGTAGAAAATAACCTTTTCTAAAAGTTCAGAAAATTTGAGAAATTTCTACCCAAAAGAAAATGACATTATACATTAATATATACGACTTTCTTTTTAAAATAGTAAGGCAGACTAAGCATAATAATAAGAATAATAAGTACCTCTTAAAACTGAAATTATTGGTTCAAAGCGATACCCATGTAATTAGTGCGAAGAAGAATAAGTGTGTGCATGCAAAATGATTCATTGTATGTTCGTAAATCACGTGCAAATGGTTGGTCCTAAACTACGTATTACTGTTATATTCATCCACTAAGCGTAACGCTGACTTTAATATATTTGGTTTGTCGTGTCAAATGTTACATTATTCTCATTTTGGGACCATATTCAATTCACTGCAAGCCACTCTTGACCCACGGGTGTACCACTTGAGTAAACACTTTACTCCCTACATGCCCATAATTTTTTTTAAGGTGTTTTCCACACTTTTAAGAAATATTTCTTCTAGATTCATATATAAAAAAATATTTTTTTATACCAATATAAAAAATGCTTAAATTTACACATATTAAAGAAGTTAGAAAAATTTATTTAATTTCATTGATTTCATATAAAAAAAATAAATTTCATTTTTTAAACTACCCATAACAATTAATATTTATTAAAAATAGTAACTACATTTAATTTAAGGAGTATGTTTTAAATGATAACATTAAATTAATAAAGTCAAGTTACTTAGAATTTTTTTTTATAAATTTAGGTACTTTTTCTGCTTATATAAGTTCATAGAAAGTATATATATATTTTTTTGAATATATGTTAAGTTTAAAGTACTCTAAATATAAAATATAGGTATATTGCTAAAAAAAATATAGGTATAAACTATAATGACATATAATATATGTTGCTAAACTTCATTTAAAATCAATTCTACTTCATTTAAAATCAATTCTAAAATTATGTGTAGATATATATCAAATAAATTTATATATACATATATTGTATCTATAGTAATACTTTTTGTATGTCACTAAATTTAGATTGATCCTGATATTTCATGGGTCCTAGACGAAATAATAAGTATGAACCTTTATATATAAATAATTTGAAATGTAAACATTTATAACATAAAAGTATATATGATTATATTAAGATTTACTATATCACTTGGTTTATGAATTTTTTTGAAAATTTTTAATTAGGTCTTAAATTAAATAAAATTGTAATTTAGTCTTCCATCTTTTTATAATTTAGTCTCTATAATTAGAGATTTATTTATAATCCATGATATTTAAATTTGACATAATATTTTTTATTTTCTCATACTCAAACAATCATTTAAGATTATTATTTAATGTCATAATTTATATGTATAGATTTTAAACTGCACTGGTTAAAAATTTATACTATTCTAAAATTCTTATGATTAAGGAGATTGTGAAAAATTTTATAGGTAAATCTACTTAAACATGTACAATTATACGTTAAATAATAATCTGAGGTGATTGTGTATGTATAAAGACTTAAAATGTTATATTTCACAAAATGTAACATATCTCTAGTCTTAAAAACTAAAATACAAAAAAAGGATGAATTACTCAATTACAAATATTTTTAATTTAGAGATGTAATTAAAATTTTCCAAAAAAAATCATAATTAAACAAAAAATATATTTAATAAAAATAATGTTTTATTACATTAAATAAATAATAATGTTAACAAATCATATGCTATATTTTTCATTCAACTTACTTTTATATTGTCATTTATTATAAAATATCATATAAATAATTTTAAGGATAAAAAATAATACATCTCTAAATTTAAAGGACAAAAATAAAACAATTAAATTGAGAGACTAAAATCAAGCTTAAAAAATTTATAGGGATCAAAAATATATTTTACCTTTTTATAAATGTAATACATAAAAAAAATTAACAATAAAAATGAAAAAATATTATAATCGTATTACTTTGTATTTAAATATAATATATATATATATATATAAGATGACAATTTTAATTTATTTTTAAAAATAAAATAAAAATAATAGCATAATTGTTTAGTTTTAAATAAATGGGACCCCTTGGTGATGGAGTCAAGTAGGTGAGATGGAGAAGATAATCTTCCTTGCTTGAATCCGCAATGGATCTTGCCTTTGAGACCTTGATTCCAGCAAAATGAAGAAATGAAGAAGACAAGATTTGGAGTTCCAAATCTTAGAAGGAAGCACTCAACCTAGGAGTGCAAAGGATGGCTCACGGTTTGGCTTTAGAAAGTGAAGGATTCCTAAAGCTAAACTAAGAACCTAGGTGACTTTGGGGAGAGAAATCTGAAATGTATTTAGAAGAATTCTCAATTATGCTCAAAGTGTTTACAAAGAGTGAAGGAACAAGCACTTATAAATCCTAGAAGCAAGCTAGGTGGCACCAACTTCACTAGCCAATATTAGAGCCAAAAATTCAAATTTCAAATGGAAATTTAAATTCAAATTCAAGGCTCCATGTGCTTAGACCGTGAATATGGGGCTACGATGCATCTAAATGTCATTTAGGGGACATTTAAAGTGTATTTGGAGTTGCACATGTTCAGTCATGCTTGGCAAGAAACGTGTGATCCAAATGCATATCAAATGACTACTAAATGAAACCTAGATTTTAGCTTCTTGTTCTATTTTAGTATTCCTTCAATATTCTTATGCTAATGGCCTAAATACAATGGCCAAACATATACAAACATTAGAAAATAATAAAAGAAACAAAATGAGCCCAATATTGGGTACCAAAAGCCCAAAGGCCCATGAAGCCCAAAATTAGGCCCAATAAGCCTATGGCCAAAAAATGTTAATCTATGTGGTCCAAAATACAAGACCAAAATATGTGAAACCTATACTAATATAATATGTACAAAATATAAGAAAAATGGATTTATCAAGAGATGGCCCATGTGAAGCTTAAATTGGGCCTTCCAGGCCTATCGGGCCCATTGGACCTTGACTAGCCCAAAACTTCATGTCTAGCTCATTCCTCTTGGTTTCTTCAAGATGTCACCTCTTGCCTTTCTAGGCATGATTCCATTACTTGGTCATATCCTTACACCTGCAATCATGGCCTACTACCTAACATTTATGGTAATGTGACACATAACTCGTATATACAAATAATGAATAATGTTAAGTTTTCCTTCAAATTTTTATATTTAAAAATAAAATTTAATGTCATAAAAAAATAAAAACAAATTTAATATTTATCATAAAAAAGTAGAAGGATCGATCGGTAGGAAAATGTTGTAAGAAAACTTAAAATTTACTGATAAATAATACAGGATGTAAAACTAAAATTACAACATATTGATCAAGAATATATCAATAATGCATACTTAAATTCATCTAAAGTTCATGAAGATTTAATGGAGGTAAATATGAAAGTCTTGTGATAGTAATTTATACTCTTTTTAACCCTCTGTTTAAAAGTCTTAATGGGGAGACATTTTACACTCACTAGAACAAAGTAGGGACCTTTTAACCGGCTTAAAAAATTGAATGATCCAAACTCACATGATATATCATTCTTAAAACAAAGTCTAAATTGTAGTATTTATGCATTGGCAAATACATTAAAATAACAATAATTGATAAATAATGATTTTAAAATAATTTTATTTATTGATTTATGTTAATCCATATAATTTAATTAACTTTAACATTCATTTACTTGGATAATATTAATCAATCATCAAAACATAAGAATCAAGGTTATTTTTGATGAAAAAACAAAACACGTGTTATAAGATAATTTCATCTATTATTTATAATTAATACAGAACCTCGTCGCATCGGGCTTAAAAAAATTGTGACTCAAAATTTAAAATCCAAATTCAAATTTACATAGACCGGATACAACCCATTTTACCAGCTTTAATCTTATCTTTTCACGTAATCCCAAATTGTTTGAAGATTATTGCATCTTCTTTTACATTCCTCTCCTTTAAAAACCTGTTTCTTTCACTAGATTCCTTTTCTCAATTTAAAAATACGTTAGAGCTTGAGCAATGGCTTCTTCTTTTTTTTTTTTGTCAATTCAAAAAAAAAAAAAAAACAATTGAAAAGCAACATATATAATTAGGGACAGGCTATATCACATCACATTCAAACACAATTTGAATCACACGAATCTCATTATCCAGTGAACAAGTTTTCTCCGCATCTTGCTTTTTCTACCTACGTCAAATATGCAAATTCTCAATTCAATAATATTAATTCCATCCTCTTTAAACCAATAATATGTTGGAATGAATCTGTTTCTTCTATTAAATTATCAAACTTGCAAATAATTGGCAAGTGTTTTCTCCTTAAGTTCGAATTTTGAAAACCCGTCATATCATACGCAATAACAAACTTAAATTCACATTTCGGTTTATTTCTATTTAATAATAAAATACAAATAAAATAATACCTGAAGAAATTTTATTGTAAGGACAATATTTATATGATAAAATAATTGAAGAACTAAAAATAAAAGACAACAAGGACTAATGTCATTTGAAACACAAACTCGAATGCGAAAATTGTAGCAAATGCTCTATGATCTTTCCTATAAAATTGTGAGTTATTTTTGTTTCCCTTTGGCAAGTCCTTTGAGGAAAAGAGGTTGATGAAGTTAAATTAAAGTTAGAAACATGCATGAATAAAGGAAGGAAAAGAAGGTAACAGTCGAAAGAGCCATGTAGTCTCTGCTTTAGCAAACCATTTTTAAAACAACACCGTTCTATACAAAGTTCATATGAGAAGTAAATTACTCTTCATAGACCCTCTCCCACTAGCTACTCTTCTTCTGCATGAGGCTCTCCCACTGATAGCACCAAGAGGTTCAGCGTTCTAAACTAATATATGCCTACTTCCATGCACCCTTTCATTTTCCTCTTCATCCTCATCTTCACCCATCTCACAGGTATTCCTTCAATTTCATCACACAAGCTTTAACTCAGTAGTTTCCTCACTCTAGCACTTTAACTCTCTACAATTACAATAAGCTTTGGCAGACATCAGAATTCATAGAGCATGTAATTTATCAACTTATTAGAATGCACTTTATAGCGCAAAGGTTATATATACTAGTATTTAATCATAAATTATCATGACTAAATACTAATAATGTAAGAAAAATTATATTCTTAATCAATCAGAAATTATGATACGTGATAAGTGTGTGAATTTTAATAATAATCACTTTAAAAATCATACAAATTTTGTTTAGTTGTTAAAATTCATTATTATACAATGTCTAAGAACTTGTTTGGGTATATATTTAAAAGTGTTATTGAGAGTTTATATATTAAAAAATACTCTATTTTTTTTTTATAGAAATACTCTAAAAAATGTTTCTAACTATCCAAACAGACTCTATAATTATGTTTAAAATATGAGTTATAAATTGCAGGTGGGACTCAGCTGATATTAGTGAACAACTGCAAAGAGAGTGTGTGGCCTGGAATCCTTGGCAGTGCAGGGCACCCAACTCCGAATGACGGTGGTTTCCAACTTTGCAGCGGCCAAGAGGTGGTCTTGGAAGTCCCTCAGGGATGGTCAGGCAGGATCTGGGGTAGACAAGGCTGTTGCTTTGACCCCAAAACCGGCAAAGGCTCATGTCAAACAGGTAAATAAAAAATAAATTAATAACAAATTAAAGAATTTATATTTAATTTTTAAAATGAATTATCATTAAAGCTTTTGTCATTAGAGAATTAATATTAGTCATATCTATAGATAATATAACAGGTGATCAATTTTAATAAATATAAAATAGAATCTGATATCATTTTATGAAATAAACTTGAGTATAACTTTAATCTTAAAAAACTTATTTATAAAGTAAAAGGTGTTGCTTGCTTACTAATAAAATTTATTTTTTTGCCATAACATTTGGTACTTAATTTTGTAATGTTTTGTAGGTGATTGTGGAGGGCTTATGAAGTGTGGGGGCATGGGTGGTGTTCCACCAGCCACACTTGTGGAAATGACACTTGGGACCTCTCAATCTGCGTTGCATTTCTATGATGTAAGTCTGGTTGATGGGTTTAACCTTCCAGTGTCGATGAAGCCTGTGGGAGGTGGGGTAGGGTGTGGGGTTGCAGCTTGTGAGGCCAACTTAAACGTTTGTTGTCCTTCAGCATTGGTTGTGAAGCAGCAAGGGAAGGTGGTGGGGTGCAAGAGTGCTTGTTTGGCTGCAAAATCAGATAGCTATTGTTGCACTGGTGAGTTTTCCACCCCCAAAAGTTGTAAGCCAAGTGCCTTTGCTCGTCTTTTTAAGACCCTTTGCCCTCAGGCTTATAGCTACGCTTATGATGATTCCTCAGGGCTTAAGCTTTGCAAAGCACCTCGCTATGTTATCACATTCTGTCCACCAACTTAATGTCGCCAGCACTAGAGTGTGATGTGATGAGACCTTTTTATTGATTTCTTCTTGTTAATGTTGTTGTCCTCATTCTCTTTTCTTCTTCTTCTTCTTCTGCTGATTTTCCAAAGTGGAGTGGTAGTGAATCATTTGGAGCTGTCATTATGTATTCTATAATTGTTAGTGATCATTAGATGGTTAATTCAGTCTCTTGTGTTTATTGTGGATTACTAAATGAAGCTCATTTTGGCCCACTAAGTTTTTTTTTTCACAGTCTACGGTTGTTTACACTTTATCTTACATGCTAAATTGCAAATTGTGGCGACAATATTCCTTAAAAAACGATAAAGGGGAAAAGAGATATTTCTCTTGGTTTGATAAAGTGTTGTGCGTAAAAACTGTATAGGAGCAATACGTGAATATATAAATAATTTTTATATCATTATCATTTAGATCGGACATCACGAGATTTGCAGAATTCAAAATATAGGGGATTTAATAGCGAGTAAACATGATATTTTTAACGATAATAATAAAGATAATAAACTTTATATTATTTTAAAAAAGTAAAATTAATGGTAACTCAATTTTGCATAATTAATTTATAAAACAAAATTACTCTTCATTTAATATGCATTATTCTAGGCATACAATACAATACGTTGATGCCAGATCTTTGGCATCTTTCAAAGTTATTATGAATACTTTGTTACTTTAATTGCATGGCTATTTTTCGGATTTTTTTTCTTTCTTCCGAAATTCTCTGCCCTACTGTCTGGTTGGGGTGAGCATTAAACCGACACCCGAACCGAACCCGAAAAACCCAAAAAAAAATATTGCTTTTGGGTGGGTTCGGGCGGATCTTATGGGTAAATCGGGTTAAAATTTTGATTTTATACGGGTTATATTGGGCGGTTCGGTTTTGAATTTTTAAATCCGCTAAAAACCGAATCCAACCGAAAATGAGATAAGTTTAAATTTTTATTACTTTTGTATAATTAAACAACAATGGTCCAAATTTAAAAGTCTTTATTTCAAGTATAATATAGCCATCAATTTGTAACTTATTTTTTTCCTTTTTCTCATAACTTAGATATTTATTTTGTCTTCTCCTTCCTCATTCAACTTCTCAACACACTAGTCCATTTTTAGAGTTATCTTTTTGCTTCTTTCTTTGTCTTTCTTTTCCATCTTCTTATCTCCATTTTGAGTACATTTTGTGTGACTGTGATTTCTTATGGTTTTGTAATCTAACTTTATATTTCTTTTCCATGTAACAACTATGAATTTTGTTATCTTTTATTTTTGCTTCTTTAGTTTGTAAATGTTTCAACTACGAATCTATTTACACCATCTATTGTCACCTTCATTCTATTTTTATACACTATTTTAAAAATATTTTTTATCGTTTTAAGCTTCATCTTCGTTAAGATAAATTGGTCTACAAAAAAATTCAAACCCGATTATACCCACCCGCTTAAATCCGAATCCGTTTCAACCCGAACCGCCTCAAATCGAAAGCTCAGTCGGTCGGATATGGGTCACATTTTTTGTCTGTGGTAAGTCAGTCTGGTTTGCCTGTGAATCCAATCGCTTACTGTACTCTCTGTTCTGTCTCCAGAACAGCGCATATTCAAACAAGACCATCAACAACGGGTAGGTCTCAAGTGTATATATTATTATTTTTTATTTTGATTAAATTATACTTTTAGTTATTTTATTTTTTATTGTAATTCTGATTTTTTATTTTAAAATCAAAATATTTAGTCTTTTTAATTTTAAAATAATAAAAATTTGATTCTTCTATCAAATTTACATCCACTGATTAATAAGTTTTAATTTTACTCATACTTAAATAATGTGATATTAAATAATATGATATATTTTTTTTAAAAATAAGTAAACAAGATTCTCATTTTCAATCACTCGAAAAAAATTATAAAAATAAATATCTTTTTTATATTATTTTGTTTAATTTTATTCGTATATTTCATAACATTAAATATTATGTTATGTAAATGTTAATAGATTATTAAACATCAAAATTTAACATTATCAAATTGACAGTAGGATCAAAATTTTATATTTTTAAAAATAAAAGAACTAAATATCTCTATTTTAAAATAGAGAGATTCAAATTGTGAATTGATAAAAATAGAGATATAAAAAATGTAATTTAGCCTTTCATTTTTTACTCGGTTAAAATTATCATTTTGAAAATGATTTTATATTACAATATGTAGATTTTTTCTTTCATTTTTTTTTGAAAAGCTTAAATAGACAAAAAAAATTATATTATAATATATTAAGTATCATTTTCACACACCGTAGAACGTTTAAAATCTTTAAGTAAATTAAGAAAAAAAATCAAAAGAAACTAAATTACAAATCTATCAATTTAATTAATTTTAAAATTTTGAGAAAAAAAATTTAATTTAATTTTCTTAAAAAAAATTCGTTAGATATTTGATATCCATCAACGATTCAAGTAAAACAATATGAAATTTAAATCAATTTAATTTAATTCAAATCAATTAAATTTAATTTAATTGACTCATTCATCTAAACTTAAATCAACCTGAACAATGAATACCTCTAAAATTTAATGTTATTGTGGAAACACAGGGGAGTTCTATGTGGTGGTCCCACTCTGAAGCTGGTTGTGTGCATTCATCTTATTGGTCTTATTGGGCTTGCATACAACAAGGGCCTATTAAAAGTTTTCTTCCCTGTTTTTTTGTTATTAGTTGATAGTTTTTTTTCTTTTTCAGTTCTGTTGCGATTGTAACATCTTGTTCCGGAAAAAAAAAAAAAAAAAAAAGCTATTTCTTTAACACCAAGATATAACGAAAGCTCGTTATCGTAAATTGTCTTATAGTCTATTCATGAATATCGTAAATTGGATTTTGGAAATTCCACCATTCGAGAAAAGCTGGTAGGACAAACTTACTTTCGACTGGTCCCTGCAGTGTCTTCAAATGCTAAGTTATTTGAAGAATTGAATGTATGTGATTAGATGTTAAGTGGGATGAGTGTACTATCCTATTTCTTTTCCATCTTATCCATGAAACTGTTTCAAGGCTCATTGAAGCCACAGACAGATACAATAGTACAATATGAATCACATGCAAATATTTAGTGGTTTGTTTTAAGCCTTTCTTTGTTCACTCTCTTGGAACTTTAAGGCATCAATGTCCAACTTGCATAAGGATATTGAAGCTTTAGCAAAAGATTTCAGTGCTAGGGACGGGTTATATGTATAGTCCACTTCTGGGGCACTTGAAAACCTGAGGCAGCAACGATATGGGCCCTAATTATACAAAAATATTGCATTGCTACTCCTTGCACGACCACAATTGTTATCCAACATCTTAACTTTTATGATGACACTCCAACATGTTAGGAAGGACCACTGGCCAAACCAGAAACGTTTTCTGAAAGGGAAAATGAATGACAAGTCCCTGTATTTAAATTTTCCTAATGCCAACACATTTGCATAGCCACTAACTTCCTTTTCTTATCATTAACATTTAAGAATACTGGTTTGGTTTTGTAACCATCATTTAGATAACGTTGGGTTGAGGCAATCTCCTCACTCTTTCTGGCCTGACCCAACATTTTGTTACTTAGATCAAAAATTGCAGCTTGTCATGTATCCACACAATTCTCTTCACTCATAGTCCCTAAGCCATAAAATCCATGCAGAAAATATACAGAAAGTGAATCTTGATTAACTTTATAACTTACGATATCAAGGCATTTTCAACAGACAAAATTAAATGTAATTTTAAGTGTTCCTCACTATCAATATTTGATGTCCATTTTTATTTTGTAGGTCAGTGAGATGAAACTCTAATTTTGATATGAAAATAAATTTAAAAGTACCTAACTTTCGTCAACTTTCAATTTGGTATGTAAAAAAAAATATAAAAAAATAGTATAATTAAGTGCATTCAGCTTAATAAATGCAGTTTCCAAATGACGTATGATCATGAGAATTTGGAGACAGTAGATTGTGCTGCCAACAAACGTGGTACAATTTCCATTGTTGCACGGCATTTGCATTGGACACGCAACCTGCGCAAAGTAATTGAATAGTTAGCCAACAATGCAGAAGCATTAATATGTTAGTTAATGTGAAAGTGGTTATTCCACAAAACAATTAAATAGGGCATGTACGAACTTGGTCCCTTTGTCTGCATCATATCCATTCTTTCTGTTTGGAAGCTTTCTCATCAAACGCTAAGATAAAGTGACAGCCAAGCTTTATTTTTTCCTCCAAAGTACCAAGACCAAGCAGGGGAAATATGAAGAATACCGAAACCAAGAATACAGCATGGATCATGCATCATATACAAGATACAACAGATATGAAATATGGCAAATTAAAAAAAATGGCACACCCGACATGAATGTAATTAATGTAACATATAAAATTAGCATGAAATTAATATAAGAGATAAATATTAAATTAGAAGAAAAAAATAGTGTTTCAAAGGTAATAACGTGTGTTATTATAGGCATAAAAATATTATAATTTATTTAATTGTTGTGATATATACATCTATATTATCATAAAAAAATATTAAAAAAAAATGTTACAACATTTTCTAAGACTATTTTTTAACACACTAATTCATCACCGATTATTTTGATTAAGTGTTGCATATTTTTTTACTAACAAGTCATTGATTAAAATAGTTGTGGATTCAATCTAAACAAGTAAGATTTCGAATTTGAATTTTATGGATGAAAAAAAAATAATTGAGAGAGAAAATTCAACATGATTAAGTTTGGCAAGACATTTATTTGCTATAAAAGTGTATAGAGATAGGGTATTGATTATTTGTGAGTGATTGCCAAAATAGAGCTTAATTAGTCGACCCATCAATTAATTAGTTGACAGATGGTACAAGGTCCATCCAAGCAAGCATACTGAAATGAGCTTCAAACAAAAGTGCGCAGTGAAAGAGACAAAGTCAGGGGTGGGCAAAATGAACTGAACTTATAAAACCTATACTGAACTTAAAAGTAGTTCTCATGAACTAAACTAAATTAAATATTAGTTCAGACGAACTGAACTGAACTATTTTTTTATGTTATTGAACTAAACTTAACTATATTATAAAAACTTGAACTGAACTGCAATTTAAACTGTACTGAACTGTTATGATATTTTGAATTGAACAATTTTGACTCATTGATCTATCAAAATAGGACACATTTGCCAACTTTACTTTATTTTCCATTTTATTTAAATTTTTCAAAGAAAAAAATATATAAAGTTAAGTCAAACAAACTCAGTGAATTTTAAGCCTAAAAATAAGTAGTCCAACATAGCTCAATTGATCTGTTAGGTTCGACAAAATTGATACAATTTTTTTATATAAAAATTTGGTTATTAGACTATCGAGTTAATCCATTAAGACATAACATGTTAGACACATTTAATTTTTATCCTTTTATAAAAATAGTTCAATTTTTATAATTCAGTTCAGTTTTTTTACAAACAGTTTAGCTTTTTATAGTACAGTTCAGTTCACCACCAATTCAGTTCAATTCAGTTTTTTTTACCCACCCTTAGCCACATGGATCATGTTACCACACATATAGTAGCCAGCTACAAGAATTTAGAATTTTGTTCAAAACGAAGATCCGAAGAATTAATTCAAAGATATGAATACCTCAGAAGTCATAAAGTAATTAACCTCCATTATTACTCAGATCCCTTCCTTTCCCTCTTGGCAGCTTCTCAATATCGCCCAACTAAACTACATCCATGATCACCACAAGATTCTGCAAAAGACAATGTGATGTAGACATGAATTAACGGTGGAGTAACTACTGAGTATTCTGAGATTGAAGCTACCATCTTTTTTTAAAATTCTAAAAAAAAAAAAGTAAAAATCAAGGGCAAAGAAAAAAGAGCATCGTAATTATTTTTTTTCCATAGTAGATTATCTTTGATTTTATTTTAGGATATAAAGGCAGAGGAGTACTATCCATATATTTTCTATCACACTTCTATTACACTTTTTATTATTAGTTAAAATTTATTAAAAAAAATATATAAAACATGAGTGAAGCTTATTAAATAAAATTATAAGACACAACATTTTATAATTTTTAATACATTTCAGTTATTAATAAATAGCTTATTGAAAAAGTGTACTAGTGTCTTGGTAGCAAATTTTCATACATGATATATGTATGCTCCTCAATTAATGCAGTTAGCAGTTCCGTTTTTGTGTGTTTAAAGGAGTTGTAATGTTGTGTATTTTAAAATTCTTATTCCCCCACTTGTGTTAGGAAATTTTCATGCTCCCAGAAATTCACAAATGAATTATGCATGTTCAACTATAGACTTGGCTTCAATGAATTAAGATAGAGACAGCTATTGTTAATAAATAGAAGTGTGTAGTGTGTAGTTGTTAATTTGTTTTTGTCACATTAGGGGAATTAGCACATAAATAAAATGAATTGTTTCTCTTGTCGTGTTGTGTTATGAGTCAATGAGCTTAAAATAGATATGACTTCTGTACCTGCCTGAGGGTACACTCGTAATCTTCAGGGGAATGATTCTCCCATCATTTTAATTACAAAATTTTACATCTGGATTTACACTTTTTAGTCCGTTGATTTGTTAAACATTTAATTGTGATTATTTTAGTGTAAATGATTGCAAGAGAGTAGCATTAATCTGACACTCTTACCTATTATATCGTAGTAGGAATTACCAAATGAAGGTTCTTCCACATGTGCATTAGGAAGCTCTATATCCATCTGAGTCAAAACTTTGGTAAACTGTGGCACTTCCTTCTTGTGACAGAAAATTTGCCAGATAATTATTTTGACAATATTGTGTCCTTGTAGCATCATGCTGCAAAATATTATATTGTGTTCCGTTGTTTGAGTTCTTTAGTTGATAATATTATTACAAAAATAAGAAAACTGTTAAATAAATATTATAAAAGATTATAAAAGTTAACAACAGTTTTGCTATGTACGTACTTATTGTCTTTGTACTTATTGATAATTGAGAAATTAAAATTCTAATTATATATGTACTTCATAGTTCGTCACAGTAATGGATTTGCAACATATGTATCTTTATGTCTCACTCATAAAGTTTTTTCAAAGTAGAATTACCTAAAGAAGAAAGGCCTATAATTGAGAATATATAAGATAGTTTTTATAATCAAAGAATTAGGGATAATTTAATTTAATGAATTTCAAATTAAATAAAGTTGATAGTGAAATGACATTACATTAGAGAATAATTAAAAATGATTTTGGAACTTATTCAATTTTATTCACATTATTATATTATATATTGAATTGTGTTAGTCGTTTTCTGAATTCTAATAAAATAATACATCCCTTTATTAATGTTATAAATTATAGATGTTATAGATGATGATAATTCCACTGTCAGGGTTTTGGATCCGTCATTGACAGGACCAAAACTTTGTTTTTACGTGTAGGAATTATAAGTCTGAAGTTTAAAATGAAGATATCTAATAGTTCAACCAAATGATAAAAAGGCAGAAAAAGATCCACTAACAAAAGGCCTTTGTCGCAAATAGTATAATTATTTAATTCCTCGATAGAACCCAAAAGTTCCATTTGATCTAGGTACTGAACCAATTCTCACTTGATTCCTATACTCGGATAATGAAACTTCATTTATCAAGTATTCTTTCCTAGTTTGAAATTAATTGCATAGAGCTGCATGCCTGTGGTTTAGTGTTTATCTGCGTATTGAGTAGGCTGTTGAGTAATGATAGATGAAGAAAAATTGCTCGCAGTGCATGTTTGGTTTAAAATAATACTACTATCTGTGTTTGGTTTATTGTTTAAACTCACCAAACTTACCTTAAACTTTCTATTTTAGTGTATTGGGAAGAAGGAATTTCAGTTTGTAAATGTGCAAATGGATATCCAAATATGCACTATGTATCTTACTTTAAGTTTCTGGAGAGAGCTTTTGGAAAGAAAAAAAAAATCTTTACCAGATACGTGCAATTAGTTATTGAGTAATGATTCTCCCATCATTTTAATTACAAAATTTTACATCTGGATTTACACTTTTTAGTCCGTTGATTTGTTAAACATTTAATTGTGATTATTTTAGTATAAATGATTGCGGGAGAGTAGCATTAATCTGACACTCTTACATATTATATTGTAAAATATATGACACAAAAGTTGATTTTCATGCAATCATCCTGCACCAAGTAAAGTCTAGTCACATCTTTTTCAATATTCCTAGTTCTTTATGTCTGCATTATGCTTGAACCATGGATGATTCATGAAGACCTCTTGGTCAATTCCAGATAGGAACTGTTCTAACGGATTATTGTAGTAGGAATCACCAAATGAAGGTTCTTCCACGTGTGCACTAGGAAGCTCCATATCCATCTGTGAGTCAAAACTTTGGTAAACTGTGGCACTTCCTTCTTGAGATCGGCATTGGCTGCTTTGACCGATGCCCAGACGGCTAGTAGCAAGTACTAGGCTGAGATGGATCGCCAAGGAAGAACCGCTGATGACTTGGCCTTAAAGGTACAGCGTCTAGGAATCACCAAATGAAGGTTCTTCCACGTGTGCACTAGGAAGCTCCATATCCATCTGTGAGTCAAAACTTTGGTAAACTGTGGCACTTCCTTCTTGTGACAGAAAATTAGCCAGATTATTATTTTGACAATATTGTGTCCTTGTAGCATCATGCTGCAAAATATTATATTGTGTTCCGTTGTTTGAGTTCTTTGGTGCTTGGACACTGTCACAATTGACAACACTGATTGTGGAATTTGTCATTAGACTACCAAGAGTATCTATCTCCTCTTGTAAGCTGGCAACCTGCACATAAAGTTTGAGTTACAAATGAAACACAAATTATGTAAATTATCAAACCGGATTCAGAGTCATTGCTTTTCTGTATACGAGAAATACTAGTAACTCACTCTCTTGTATTAGCTGAATTTTATTGAATATTGCAAAAATTTGAGAGTTTCATACCTTATTTAATGATTCTCATGATTTTCAATAAATTTCAATCAAACAAAAGAGTTTATATTCAAAAGTTTATGTTAAAAGGTGTATTATTAACATTTTTTTTACACATAAGTAGTCCTTGCATTCATAATTGTTGGATGAAGAAGATAATTCATACTATATAAAATATGAGTCATTTATTCTTCATCTGATACTTTCAAATTGTTGAATGCATGAAAAGTGAAAATTCTACCGAAAGGAATTGAGATCTCTAAATTATGGTGGGAAAAAGCAGGTTTAGAGTCACAGCATGGGAAACCTGTTGCTGCAATGCATAGATATGAGCAACACAGCCATATATAGGATCCTGCATGCGAGCCAAGGCTTCATAAGAAATGGTGATGGCAGCATCACTTCTATTCTGGATTGGAAGATGTGACAATAGCCTGGAGACGTTACTAGCACCGTAAATTTTGTGCACTGCTGCAAAATGGGTTGAGGCTTGGTCGTAGGAGAAGTAAGGAGCGAATACACAATCAGTGGCGCATTTTCTCCTTAGGAACTTGCATGCTCCACATGATGAGCCAAGCCCTGTCATTGTCCCAAGTTTTTACTGATTTTATGTTAATGATTTGTGTAGTATAAGACTTGCAATAATTTTGTCTAAGATTCGAACCTTTATAGCCATCACCTGGGAGGTTAAGTTACTTTTGCCGTGTCCAAGGGACATGATTCTTACTTGAGTTTACTTTAAATTAAGTATGTTCTTCTTTTGGGTCTCTTCTGTGGCCTACATTGTCCTTGTCAATTAGGGAAAAAATTTCCTCTTTTATGCATCAAAAGGGCTTTTATTCGTAAAGTTTCTTCCCTGATTGAATATCCAATCATCATCATTTTTTGGGGTTGGTAAAAAAGTAATTAACACAATGGATTTGTGAGTTTGAGTTATAATGCATGCTTTAGGTGATCTAGTTTCTAGCATAGCGTTCATGACTCATTGCGGCCTTTTGTCTGGATATTGTTAATGGCCCTTTAATTCGACCAATTTAATATCTCATTTGTATGCCACTTGTTCTATGAATGCATATTTTAATCCTCACCATAATTCAGGTTTAGCTGTTGGCCACTTAAACTATGGTTTGAGGTGTGTTAGACCAATCCATTGTTACCTGTTATTCCTTCGAGGCTTTTTTCTGACTCTTTCAGACCCAAGAAATTAAAACAGATTAAAATATAATACGAGCTCTTTTTCTCTGTTCTTTTGGTGGCTGTTGTAATGCTGTGCTAGAAGGAAAAAATTAGTGTAGTTCAAGACTATTACATGTTATGTTATGCTCCCAGTCTTATAGTAAATTTCTACATGAAATATAGCCTAAACACGTTGAAATTGTTTGAAAATATAAACAATTAATTTATAGTTCTAAGTCATGTAATAGTTTCTTGCTAAAGGTGGAAGGTTGACATAGGGAGAAATTAAGAAAGGTGGAAGAATGAGTTGGGAGACAATGGCATGAACTCTTGCATAACTTTCTGGTTTCTGTCACTTCAAGACTGTGAACTTTTTTGAGCTATGAATTGGTGGATGAATAACTTTGGGCTTTCGAGTTTAACGATGAAATTGTCTTTCTCTATCATATGCATAATGCATCAATCATCGTCGCTATCTCTTGAAGCGTGCCACCTTCTTTGTCAAGTTACATTCTCACCCTCTCTTGATAGATACAAGAAAAGTTATAATAGTCACCTTGGGAATTATCCACTCATCCTCCCCACCCTCACAAACAATCATTTTTAATTATATCATTTAAATATTCTAATAACTCTAACATTATTAATTTTTTTAAATATATTTAAAACCTAAATGGTAATTAAAATTGTAAGTTTTGATTTGATTCTTATATGTAAAATTCAATAAAATTAGAATACATTAAAAATATAGAACAAGTGTTTTTAAACTTGCAACAAAATAAAACAAAATGCATACAAATAACAAGCGGAGTGGCTTGAGTTAAGATACTAACAAAAAAAAGTTTCATTTAAGCTTATTGAGTTAGTTTCTCCAAAAACTTCATGATTTAATTTATTATTTCTTCACAAATAATAAGTTACTTATTTTTAAGATATTTTATACAAATACGTTTGAATCAACTTTTACAAGTAAAAATTAAGCTTAAAATAAATAGGGTCAAACAGACTCTAATCAAAATACGTCAATTTAAAAAATAAAACACTTAAATCTGACAACTCCAAACAAATTTCAATAAATTAAAACATTTCAGTATCACAAGTCTTGTTTGTCAAATATCAATAAAAAAAAAGACTATTCAAAAGTAGAGCACCTTACTTAAATATATATATATATATATATATATATATATATATATTAT